GGCCGAGACCTCGGCCCCTGCCTTGCATGTCAGTCTTGAGTTCAGGTTCCATAAAAAATATACTGTCTAACTAATTAACCCCCTAAACTTCCTCAGAAATATCACTTGTTGCGTTTCGTCAATCGTTTGAATTTCTCAATAAAAAAACCAATCTCTATTTGCAATCCAACTCCACAAAAGCACTCTGAAACTGGAAACATATCAAACTTCCTCCAATGAGGATTTATGCATGAGAGGGGAATCAAACGACCTTGTTGAAAATACATGACGACCCATGTGTATGTCGAAAAATGCAGCCACATGCAGCAATATCTATTCCCACACTATTTGATCTCTTTGACTCTACCAATATTTTGTCCAAACTACAAATTGAAATAAGACCACGTAACTCAGTGAACTCAGTAGGTGTGTTGTTGTGTTGGACTATAATCAAACTCTGCTAAAATGAGGCTTTAATGTCTGCATGCTGCAACTCTAACAAATTGTGTATTTTGGTCCAAGATGTGTCAAAACTGCCTTTGACTTGATCTAAGTTGCCTCTTCAATTTAGCACGAGAACTTTCCGCCCTACAAGTATGTATATTTTGGTATTTAATATAAAAATCAAAAAATTATAGCAATTCATAAATGTAATGACCATAATTTACCTATTTGTAGTAGTATTTCCAAAATGCATACTATTGTCTGTCTAAGCTACAGCAAATTTTTCCTTGCATGGTTCTAACCAATTGGTAGTAACATACTTAATAGCTTGAGAATACATACTAAATTCGGTCTTCAGATTGGAAAATTGTTCATTGAATTCTCTTTTTGTTCTAACCAATACCAAAGCACTCCAACTATGCATGAACTTATTCTATTTATCTTTCTTCTCAAAAACCTTCTTGCACTTCATCAGAACATTCTTGCTAATATGCAATATACATAAAAGATTAGTGGCCATAGGCAGAACTTTTGATATGCCTTTCATCAAAGCCAACTCTCTATCTGTAATAATGACTTTTGGAAAAGTAGTATTCTCCATAACAGTACGCAATATGCCTAAAGCCCATGTATAGTTGTCCTCCCGTTCATGACCAAGATAAGCAAAAGGAACTAAAAATTTCAAGTTCGTTGATATTACCCCAACAATCTCTAAGAGAGGGAGTTGATACCTATTAGTCTTGTATGTGCAATCCATAATCAACATATGTGGAAATGTACATAGCAACTCCAAACTAACAGGGTGTGCCCAGAACAAGTCAGTCACCATCTCTCTATCATCACATCGATGCCACTCAACATAATTTTGAATCGACAATTGCCCCAATAGTTGTTGCATCTGTGATCTTCACGCCCTCTGTATTACTCGATGTCGATGACGTGCAATGTAGATTGTCTTCATTGTTTTCGCATTAAAGGCATCCCTTTGTTTCAATGTAACCAATATCTCTTTTGGTTGCACCATACTCTTTGACATGTCAACTAATAAGGATGTTTCCTCCTTAGATAATCTGCCAACAAACGAATGCCCTTCAAAATGTTCAGCAGATGGATGATTGTGCACTCCGCATAAGACATGCAACATCCACTCATCATTTGTAGATAATTTTTCCCCCTTAATAGAATTGGACATCCACACTTTTTAGAATCTATCAACCTTAATCGTTCCCCCTTGATCTTCCTGTTATATCTATAGTAACCACTTTTTTTCACAAGTAAGGGTAAGTCTTGGTTTTCTGCCGTTACCTCCCGCATCTGATGTTTTTACAATAATGGCAAATCCAGTCTTCCTTCCAACGTCAGAAGCCTATTTAATTAATGCTTGACGACTACTAAAATTCTAAACATAATAAATACATTTATACGTCAAATTATGATAAAACTCAATACCAATTAAAAATAAGAAAAAATCGTATTCATAAAAAAACTTAACAAATCTCGTCTGTAATGAATTCATGACTGGAGTCCACTAATAATGCAGTATTTGCGTTGTTGCAATGAATATAAGTATAATCCTTCCAAGCAAAAAAAAAAAAGAAACTGAACATACATGGCAATGAGTAACCGAACAAATTTAAAAAGTCCGGCTTTATATTACCGAAAATGTATCTTTTATTCGACAGTTAGATACCAGACTTATATTTTTTGTTCAGCAGTTTGATACCGGACTTTGTTATTTTGTTCGATTTCGAAATACCAAACAAAAGTCGAAGACTAGCCTAGAAAATCAAAACAAAAACCTACCAAACAAATAAAAAAACTCACCATTTCACTCTTTTTATGGTTCTTCACCACCGTTTCTTCATCTATTGCTTTCTTTGATGATCAAAACACTACGATTCTCACTTTTTCAAAAGAGATGTGTAAGAGAAAAAAAAAATTGAGAAAAGAAAAAGATGAGTAAGGATGGAAGACCAAGAGGTGTAAGGAGATAATCAAATATATTTAATTTTAGTGTTTTGTCCTTAACACATGGATAAAATTGAAAGGAAAAAAAAATTATATAAAGGGTGTAAAGAGGTAAAGTAGTGGTGTAAGTAAAATCACCCACCATATTAATGTAGGATTACAACTATATTTATCTTTTTTTCTAATCTTACCCTATATCAATGTTTTTTCACAATCTTTACTTTATCAAAATTTCTTCATAAACGTGGTTTTGAAAAAAATTATAAATAAATAAATGCAAGCCAAAAATACAAAATATAACGGCCATGGTTTGTTTTTAAAATTTTTTTTAAATATAAACTAATTTGATAAAATAAATATCAAAAATTATTTTTAAATTTTTAAAAATTATTTTTAGCCTTCTAAAATGTAAAATTATATAAAAATAATAAGTGTTTTAATTTTTACTCAATGGTAAAATAGTCTTTTTATTTTATTTCTCAACTCGGGATATATATAATCCCACCCATACCCTATTACTAATAATCTTACAAATTTGTTGGATTAATTATCTATTGAATTAATAATCCTGAAGCAAAATTTCAAAACAAACATAGCATTATTATACCCACAAATTAATAATTTTAATCTTATATTATAATTCTATTAATCAAACATGCTCTAAAAGATGTGTTGTGCAGTGCATATTGAGCCAAAGAAAAGTGACAAACAACACAACCACTAGTGACAAAAATTGTACTAAGTCCATGAGAAGATAAGCTGCTCCAACCTGCAAAAGCGTTCAAGTACAGGCTAATGCTCCTTCTCAAGGTTTTAAAAAAAAGGACCAGACCGGCCGGTCAACCAATTGAATCTTTGATTCGTCGAGATTTCGGTCTGAATATATTTACTAAATCGTTTAAAGTGAAAAATCGGCTTATTTTAAGAGAATTAAAAAAATCGACAGTTGAACCATCGAACCAGTGACGGTTCACCGGGTCAATAAAATCATTTTTTTTTTCTTTTTTTTTTTATTCAAATTTTTGTTTTTTTTTTTTTTTTTATTTCTTTTTTTTTATATGTATATTATATAATATAAGAAAAATTTTAATTGGAAACTCTCTTTTAAGGGTCTTCTCTTGTGAGGAATCTCATTGAGAGTTTGAAATTATTATGAAAGCCTCTACCTATTTATAAGAAAAAAATTCTTTCAAAAAAACTCAAAAAATCTATGTGAAATTCAATTAAATTTATTGGAGAAAAATTTAAAATTTTAATGTCCATCCAAAATTTTTGTTTTTCTTTCAATCAAATTATTTGAATTAAAATCATATGGAGGGAATATTGAATATTTGATTTCTTTCAAAATTAAAATTAACAATATTTTAAAAAATATTTTTATATTTTTTAGTAAAAAAAATATTAGGAGAAATATTTAAGATTATTTAATTTTTTAATTTATAATTTTATTACTTATATTTTTATTTAAATATAATTTTAATATATTTATGGCATCACGGTTTGATTTCAATTCAACGCGACAGTTGAACCAGTGACCTGTCTATCCAATCCTTTTTCCGATTCACTCATTGGTCCGATTTTTAAAACATTGCTTCTCTTCTTTTCTTTTTTTGAACTAGCTAATGCTCCCCTGCTCATGTAAAACTAATAAAAGACTGGATCCATTCTCCTAAGATTTGAAAAAAATATATAAAATGACAAAAAAAATAAGTCCCATAATTTTAGCGTAATTACACCGACTTCTTTTAGTAAGGTAAAGTGATTGGAATTAATGGACATAACGGTGTAGAGACACAGATAACAAAGTAAAGAGGGAATTTAACCAAATCTTGCCCGAAGCCATTTCCCAGATAGGGCAGTTAATTAAAACTAAATACAAGGATCCTCCTATTTGCAGTATTTGCACCTGACTATATGCTACAACCTAGTTTGGGCTTTCAAAGAGCATTCCAAAAGAGAACAAACTGACTATATATGCACAGCTAGTACAATGTCTGATATCTTTTATTTATTTATTTATTTTAAAAATAAACAAACAAATGACGAATAATATCAATCGGAAAACCAAAACCATAAGTTACTGTTAACTCCCACAAAACAAATTAAAGCAACTGCAACTCTAGCATCCTAAAAAATCAGCATATGTAAATTTCGTTTGGTATAACTGTTAAAACAACTTATAAATTATAACTTAACAGATTATAGATTATGACTTTAATCAGAAGTTGTTAATTTGTTTGGTGTAACTGTTGAATTATAAATTTAAGTTGCTGAACAGTGTTTGTTAAATAAGCTTTGAAATAACTTTTTCAATTAATTTTTATTTTTTGTTTGTCTACATTTCTCATAAAAAATAATAATAATAATCTATAGTCCATTTGAGTCTTTTTCTATTTTTAAAAAAATAAAAAAATTTAAGAGTATAACCATAAATTAATATATCCACAGCAGAAACTGATAATCAGAAACAAGGGGTGGGCAGCTTCTCAGAATCAGCTTTTTTGAGTTAAAATAAACTGTTAGAATCAGAAGCTGTTTGAAATAAGTTTAACTAAACAGTCCAAAATAACTTTTTCAAAACTAAAAGCCATAAATTGACTCTGAAAAGCTGAAACAAACACCCCCATAATGTAAGGGCTATTAGATACTACAGAAAACTACATTGCAACTCCAGAATATTCAAAATTAGTTTCAATGCACGAACCAAAAGCTTGTGATGTACACCGAAATTGGATGTATAAGCAATTATCAACTGTAAAGAGCATTTTCTTAAATTTAAATCCAATTAATACAACAAGGGGAGACCTCTTTTTGTTTTTCACTTAGTGTTCTCTTTTTTCTTTTGGGAAGAGAGAACAAGCGGCCATTCTAAGAGAAAATGGTTTTGTAATTGCTGTACTCCCATCTCCCATCTCCCACCTCCCATCTATCCCTTGTAGGGGTGCCGGTGTTATCCCAGCAACAGCGTAGACAAAATCTCTCCCATAGTCTTGTCAGACGTGTCACCATCATTGTCCACTTCCACACCCGACTCAAGAACAGCTGCATCCAATACAAGCTTCCGTTTAGCAATCTCGTAAACATTCTCATCAACCGTATCCTTGGTCACCAACCTGTAAAATTAGACATTGCTAAATTAAAAGAAAAAACTAATTGGCAAAGGAGAGAGAGCAGGAGGGGCTGCCCCACCTGTATATTGTGACGGGTTTTGTTTGACCAATACGATGACATCGATCTTCAGCTTGTCGGTCAATCTGTGGATTGAAATCCATGTCATGAATGACAACAGTATCAGCTCCAATCAAGTTCAGTCCCTGCCCTCCAGCTCTTGTAGACAGCAAGCATGCGAATATTGATGTGTCGTTATTGAATGTATCCACTATAGTTTGTCTCTCTGTCACCGCAGTACTGATATTTAGAAAAGAATAAAACAAAAAAAGAAACATATTAGTTTACTCTTTATGTATTTGATGCACAATAATAGCGTTCAACCCACACTCGCCACAAACTACCACCATGTCAAGACTCCACAGGTAGGAAGCACAGGTGCTGATATAGATACAGGTACAGGTACAATACAAGTAAGCCACAACGGAAAAACCTAAAAGAAAAAAAAGGATATGGGAACAATTGGAGTATTACCTTAAAAAATATATTTTTACAATATCTATTAGTGCATGATATATATAACCATTAAAAAATGAGACATTTATACACAAGTCCTAATTTATGAACTTATACTCCATTAAATCTTTAACTAAGATTTTTTGGACCTTCAAATCCCATTAAATTTTTAATAGTTGGAATTGCTCTTCAAACAATAATTATTCATCATTTATAATTATCTATAAAGGAACATGATGATTTGACATTTATTTTGATTTTCAAAACTTTAAAACATCCACTTTCAAAAAAAAAAAAAAAATTGTGCAAAAAATAATAATAATAACAATTTTTTTTTAAAAAAAAAACTGAATTATTTTTTTGTGCAAAATTAAAAATTGTCTATAACAGAGCATATGATGAAGGAACATTGATGTGCAAAACTATAAAATAAATTAATTAATTAATTAAAAAAAAACATCAAAAATGAAAAAACTAATAATGTTCACAGTTTTAAAACTAGAAAAAACTAATAATGTTCTTCATTTTATTGGATAGTTGAATCAAACCAATAAGTAGAAGGGTAAAAACGTTTAATCTCATGCTCTGTTTTTATTTTCCCTCAGTTAGCGAAACAATTATCTGAAACATTATTATGCAAAATTGATAATGTTCTTAGTTTTGAAAATGGAAAAAAACTAATAATATTCTCAGTTTTACTAAATAGGTCTTATTGGTTCAAAAAATCTTAGATAAGACCTAAGCTACCACAGCATTTGTAAATAGAACTTTTAGGTAATTAACTCTTAAAAAATAAAATGCGAAAGTAAAATTAAATTAAAGTAAGGTACAAACTAGAGTTTAATAACAAAATTGGTTAAGGATCCAACCTACAAATCAAATCAAAGTTCATACAATGAAAAGAAAGCAGCTCTGTGAGAGAGATCAATACAGATGCTCTGTAATGGGCAACCAAAAAAAAAAAAAGACGAAGTAATTTAAAATTTGCGTTAATTACAAAATACCTATATTTTTTAAGTTTTTAAAAATGGACACCATTTATTTGTTTCAGAGCCTCTATATTTAAAAAAAAAAATTACACTTATGGCACTACATACTCACAAAAGTACCCAAAACATACCCAGCCATACCCATGCACCCAAACTGTACCTAACATTCAAGAAAATAAGAAAAAGTACCAGCCATACCTGGTAAGTACCAGATACTTGTGTGATGCTTTATAGCTCCACAGGTATTACTATTACAACTTAAGCAAAGATGATCTACTATTACAACTTAAACAAAGATTATCAGACCTCAAATAAATTGATCAAAGTTTTTGTCCCAAAAGTTGTTTACTACATTTATTCACAAATCCAAACACATCAATGAACCTTTCACAGATGCCCTCATCATAAAGAGGCCACATATGAAATCAACAACTTTCTCAAAGAGCAGATACTAACATTTCAATGGTCATAATGAGGTCAGACAATTGCATAGTTAGGTCATCTGTTTGCTCACCAAGGAAAAGTATACAAAAAGATAAGAACACAGGTCCAATTGAATCTATGGATGGTACACCAGATGAATAAGGCTGTATTTTGCGGTCAAAATGGAGACATAGCTACAAAGTAAGAGAAGTACAGCAGTACCTTCCATCAAGGCGCCTGTAGGTAACACCGATTACATCCAAAGTCCACTCCAAGATATCAAGCATGGATGTCCATTGGCTGAAAATCAGAACTCGATGCCCATTTTGCTTTAATGAAGGTAGAAGTTTGGATAATGCCTACATCACAGATATAGGAACTCAAATCATTTTGTGAGCACAAGATATTCTATACTATGACTCTCTGCAAACATTAAGGCAACATACTTATTTTCAAACCCAACACATCACTAAAAGCCTACCCGGCATTTTGCTGAAATCATAACTTCTTCATCTGAAAGAAGTCCCTTCGTATCAGTAACACCATGATAAAGCAACAGCTGCAAATAGGAAGTTGAAACGTAAATCAATATCAATCTATATGACAGATTTACACAAGCAGGCTCAGTATCAGTAGCCATGATACTGTTGGATAGAATGGTCTCAAGCTAAACACAGATATAACACAATGTCAGGAATGCATCCAGTGTCCAGCCAAAATACAACGCAACCAGGAAATGCAATAAGACAAAGGACGAGCACATATGGCATTTTCTAATGTCTAACCTAACTCCATTAGGCTCCTAATGATTGTTTTTGCAAGTGCATGCTTCCATGCCCCAAATAATAGCCAGCAACTGATTATGATATACAAGTTTAATCATAATTATCCAACTTATTAATTTCCCAAGAATGGTTACAATCGCCTTGCATTATACGAGTAGCAGTGGATTTGAACACCATAAGGAATTCTGCTCAACTAAACTCTCAGTCTTTATGCTGACACTTTTATACTTTTCATTTCATTAAGTTCATATAGGGCTGCAACCCGAACCGAGCCGAGCCAAGCTTTGCAGGGCTCGAGCCCGGCTTGTTCGTTTATTGAGCTTGAGCTCGGCTTGGTAACTAATCGAGCTTCAACTCGGCTGGTTAATATTAGTCAAGCTCGGCTCGAAGCTCAATAATGAATTTTTTTTACTATTATTTATATTATTTAAATATATAAATAATATATTTACATATTATTTAAATAAAAATATTATTTATATTTAACATATAAAAAATATATTTATGCTATTATTTATATATTTTTTTATATTATTTAATATATAAATAATATATTTATTCTATAATTTAAATAAATATAAACAAGCCGAGCTTATTCGAGCTCAAGCTCAGCTCGTTTACTAAAGGAGTCTAAAGGTGAGGCTCAAGCGCATTTATTTACTTAACAAATCGAGCCGAGTCGAGATCTTAACGAGCCGAGCTCGCAAATAGCTCGGTTCGTTTGCAGTCCTAAGTTCACATCATCAACTTTCTTTGATAACGTAAAAATAATTTTCAATTTTAAGCACTTCAGTCAACACAATCCTGTGGTACGACACTTAGTCCACTATATTCTTTATTTTGCATAGCTACGGGTTACTAGTTTTCTAAATAATTAAATCCCCTATAAGAAATTCCCACATCACCACTTTTCTAGTGAATAAAAATAGGTGATGCATCGCAAAAAGGTTAAGGGAAAGTAGCATTGGGATTGGCTACTGTGCGTTTGGTGGCTCCAATTTCTTGCACCCAATTGATTTTGATTGACTTTAGAGCTTTTGGTACCAACAAGAAAGCCAAGGCTTTATAGGAATGTTGCATTTCGCTCAACTCCATGTGTTGTTTGGTTGAAGTTCAACGCTTGGATCTTTGAGCACTAAGTTGAGGACACTAATTCTCTTTGGGATAGAGTGTATTTTTTATCCTCTTTTTGGAATTCGGATTCCTCTCCCTCTAAGGAGATCTTTATTTTTTTATTTTATTTCTAGGATTCGTGGCAGTGTGACTTGTTTGGTACCTTAATTTGCTTTTTTCATCTCTTTTGTTTTCTTTGGTGGAGTTCTTGTCTCCCACTTTTTTGTAGTTCTTTTTACTTTTTATTATTAATATAATTACTTCTGATGCTGATTAAAAATAAAATAAAAAATAAAATAAGCATTAGCTATAGCATGCAAGACTTTCTGCAGTTTAGTAATGGAGATAATTAAACTACAAAAGATGCAGTTCAATAGATGCATAACCCAAGTAAGCAAATAAAAATGAAAGACCCTTGCAAACCCAAATCAAAGCATTTCTCTTCCCAAAGCAAATTCAAATTTCAAAGCCAATAACTATTTTATTAGAGAGTGAATTCCTTCTATTTTGGGGCCATAGTTGCAGAGCCACAGAAGAATATGCTTTTTGAGTTATTCAATTTCCTTCACAAAATTTGATAGATGCAACATAGTTTATGAAGTCACGGATGCCATTTCATAGCAATGTTATAACAGTATCATTAGGGCCCATTATAGAACGGATTGACAAAGCAGGCACAAATAAATTCACAACTGTAACAACCATTACAGCTAGCCATTCCAATGTCAAGCATTACAACCTACTACAATGCCATGATAACTATTGCAGGTCACTTAAAAAACACACCACGACCTCATTCAAATTATAAAAAACTAAGATATAACGAACTAGGACTTAAACATTCATAGCAAATAGTTTAAGGGTTTGTTAGCAAATACTAAAAAAGTATAGCTGTAATTACCAAATCTCATTTCTCCACAACCAATACTTCCCATATTGTATACTGACTGCAATTGTTACCATGACTCATACCTGCTAAAATTGTCAAGAGTGTTTTTTATGGAATTTTATATTCAGGGTATTATTGTTATATTGACATTATTGTTATGATACAATATGTGCTAAGATGATGATGTAGGACGACACAGTGAGGACTTTAAAGCTGAATTTTTGTGGGTTTAAGAAGATTAGTTTCTAGGAATCACTCCAAAAGGCCTTAGGCATCACACCTACCTAGGGTTCGGGTTGCATCACATAAACCCAAAAGAGACTTCAAAACTCTAAAATATTTATAAAATATCAACTCTATTGAATTAGAAGCATTACATGACTATACATAAACTTAGAGACTTTCTTCTTTTTTTTATAATACTTTCTTAAACCAAGGATTGTAAAATAGGAAACTACTAAAATTTTAAATTCTAAAACACACCTTAGACACAATAAAAAAAACATAAACAAAAATCAATTAAATCTTGACCCACAAGACGACTCAACCCCTACAGCCCATGTCAACATATCTAAAAATTAACAAAATACCCCTAACCTAAAAACTCTAGAAAACATAAAATAATTATAAAATCAGACCCTAATAACAATAAAAACAAACTTATGTATGGTTCCTATTAATTTCTCTTTGAAATTTTGCCAATATCCAAATATCATTGCTTCTTTGAATTAACATTCCTTCAGTTTCTTATACTCTTGCATCAGGTAAGGGTTTTCATTAATGTTAAAAATCTATTCATCATATTCTCTTCTCTCCACTTCTCTCTTTCTTTTCTAACCCTAACCCCAATTTCTTACACTTTGCACTTAAACTTGGTATCAGAACACTCCAATCTTACCCAAAAGTGTTATTTAAGTCTGAAAATCATCACAAGGTGACCTTAACTTGTCAATGTCATTGTTCGTACGATCGGGCAAATGCATGGTCTTGCTCTCCTAGTGATTATGGTATGTGTGGAATTTTTTAAAGCCATTTGATGTACGTGTTCAATTTTTGAAGTATTTTCATATTTTTTATGGTTCATTTTTTAATCCGCTCTTTGGAGCCTTACTCTTTTTTCTTCATTGAAATGACACCCATGGTTGCAGACAAGACCCTTGGATGCCTTCTTTGAGTTTAGAGATGATGTTTTGTAGTGTTGTGAATGGGTATTTTGACTCTCACTGTGGTTCAACTCTGTTGTCTTGCTATAATAGTGGTTTGATCTTGCTTCTTCCTCGAGCCTGCACATGTGCTAAGGTGAGTGTTTTAATTAACGCCAAAAAACCTGTTCATCGTACTCTCTTGACTCCTTTTCTTCTCTCTTTCTATTCAAACCCTAAACGTAGTTTCCTGCACTTTGCACTTTAATTAGCAATAGTACTTGACTCAATTAATTTAGTATGGTACTCAATCATGTTTATTTTAAATGAATTTTTTTGTTTTTTGGCACTAGGGTGTCCGGATCAAAGCCCGACTAATCCCCAAGGATGCACAAGCCCTCAATAAGGAGTTTCTCGCAACTACTCCACAGTTAATTCAAAGATTTTCAACCAATTCGATGGCCGTAAGGAATTGTTAGCACCGAGGTTTTAAAAAGTGGCTGCAACCGTTACGTAACGCCATTACATAACAGTTGTGGTAGTTACCGCCACCCGTTGCGGCCGCTATAGCGGTGTGACGGAAATTCACATATGTAACGGCCGTAACGATACAGTAACGGCCTTAACGGTCCGTTGCACACCGTTACACCCTTTTATAATATTCTGAATAATTTCCTTTTCAAAAAAAATAAAATAACAGATTACAAAAAAAGAACAAATACTCAAGTAATCCAAACCCAAAGAAAAAATCTTATTTGAATTTATTTTCTTTATAATTTTTTATTTTTTTTCATTACATTAGCATTAGCATGTACATCAAAAAATATATAAACAGTAGTTGTATTTATTTTTACAATCATTTTATTTAATATTTAATTATAAATATTTTTTATTTTGTTATTGTAATGTGTTGTCTAAAAAATGTCTTTAAAAAACTCAAAATATTTTTTGTTTATGGCACAATTTTTATTATTATAATCATTTCATTTAATACTTAATTATAAATAATTTTATTTAGTTACCTGTAAAGCATTGTCTCAAAAAATATTTTTGTTTATAGCACACTTTTTATTTTTATAATCATTTTATTTAATAATTGTAAATATTTTTTATTCAATTAGTTTAGGTATTGGTCAAAAATAATTTGTAGATATTTAAAATCAATTATTCTTAAAGTCATTAACTATTGAAATAAAATGTAAAAAACACATTTTATAGTGATTTGAAAATATGAAATATATTGGATCATACTTAAAAATTAATAAAAATTGATCAAAATCTATCTTAAACCCTAATAAATGTTATTCTAAAAAAAGAAAAATACGCGTATCGTTAAGTTTTTTTCAAATTATGCGGGGGAAAAAAAATCACAGTTCCGGTCACCGTAATCGTTACACTATGGGCTTTATACCCCACAACCACAACCGCAACCGCAACCACAACTGTGCGACCGCAACCGCTTTTCGAAACCTTGATTAGCACCTAAGAGGTTTTGATCCCTAAACCTTGGAGGGAGCACACCCCTAAGACCCAAGGCGTTACCACCAGGCCAACCCTTTGGGTTTGTTTATTTAAATTAAATTGAACCCAACTGGATGAATCAATTAATTCAGTTTGGTGGGTCCACTTT